CAAGCAAAATTAGCGGAAATTTACCTGTCCATGAACCAAAATGTTCGCTTCTTTACCTCAGATTTCGTTAACGCCCTACACTTAGAGTCGATACACCTAACCGTCTATTTTAAGGTAAAACTAACGACGATGCTTTTCTGTACGCCACAGTGCGATAATCACGATGGATATTCTTGCACAGAACTGGCGACGCGACGATAACCATTGGGCAGGTATGTGCGGCTGAACGGTTTTCGGTTCGCTGGTCTGCACACTTGTACAGTCACTGGTCAGCCTCTTTAAAGTTAGGACACGGTGTCCTATACCCGTGGCTTCCTTTGGAGACGGTGACGTAGGCTGCTCCTCGACGACTACTAACGCACTTGTAAAGCAGGATAGTGTTGATTCTTTCGAGTCTTTCGAGATAATGTATCCACTTTCGTCGCTCGGTTGGTTTTGCATCTTTACCTGCTCTGGCTTCCAATACTGACGTAAAAAGCCTGGAACAGACACCCCACTCGGTTTGTGCTCGGGCGCCTGTGACCAGCTATACCATTCGACCCAGAGCCTCGCCAGTGCAACAGTATGTGAGCCGTCTCCTCCTTCAAAATGCGCTGGTTTCGGGCCGCAACAAAGCCAGATTGGTGAACTTTGGGCGTTATTTTGACGTGTCTAGTGTGTGTCTTTTGCACTTGTCCAGTCTTGCGTGCCCGTGTGAATCGAATTAGAACGTTGCACCTTGCTTGCACTATGATGTTGCAGGAGCAGGAAAATCACGCGCTAACAACTTGCAAGCAAATGTCTCAAACTGTGTGCCGTCCAGTTTTAAGGAATTCGGTTCCGTGCTGTTGAGAGTTGCCTGAGCGCATAATCGGAGATCACAAAGATATTGAAGACGTGATGGTACAGTTGGGCAGGGCTGCCAAAGCTCACAGTCTTCTCAGTGTTCAAGTAAGAGTTACTCGGCCTGAGGCCCCGAGTGCAGCAAAGTACGCCTGTTTTTTCTCATTTGTGGACATTGAGTGATAACATGGCACGTAAGTGCCACTCGCTGCAAACTCTCTGCTTGTACATGACACGCTTCTTCACTGTCAACAAAAAGTTCACATCATCTGCAAAGATCTAAACTGGCTTCATCATCCAGAGGAGACTCAGGGAACTGCGTTTGAGAGACATGTTAGAACGAATTGCTGCATGTTTAAGGTGGATGTACTTTTTACAGATCACTGACCGGCCGATGGTTGACCAAAATTAGTTTAAATCCGGTCTTATGGCATCATAAATGCTCATATTTGCTGATTTGTTTTGCACTCAAATTTCCTGGGGTAGAATCAGGAGCAATACTAAACGTAATCGATATCTGGCTGCGCAAAGATAATTATGGAAACAGTTTTGTTTTAATGACAGAGGCTATCGAGTGCTTTAGTGATGAAATCCGTACGGGTAGCACAGATACGCAATTTTTACGCAATTCGTGGCGCTGCATGTTCAACGATGTCAAACATTTTGCTTGGTGGGAGCTGCATGGGAATAAGTTTTAAGTTCAACCGTCCAGGAATATAGCAATATGTTTTCTTCTTATATGACCATCAGAATCATGTGTATGGAAAATGACGATATTTCGGAGGTATGTAGGGTATCAATGAGTATGTTTTCATGCAATGTGGGTGACGGAAAACATTTTGATGCTTAAATGTTGTGGCAACGACAGTGTCTGTGCTTAGATGGTGCAACAATGATAGCGTCTGTACTTAAATGATACGCTGATCATTTTGACCTTGGTATATCTAACCAAACGTAACAGGGGTGGGGTCAGGTAGCATGGGAATTGATGTCATCCATCTTACTCTACCAACAGATAAGGGTACACCGACACAAGACGTTTTCACTGGAGGCCTGGAATGACAATCAAATCAGAGCCGTTATTTAACATTCCTACATGTACCATTAATAAAAGTAGGCGACCAACGTAATGTGGTAATCATCCTGGCCCTATGACCAGACCTGTGAGTCGTCATAGCGTTGTAAGCAATAAAATAGCGCTAACTAATAACTTTTCTTTTATGTAATTTCTGAAGACGGCTAAGTCCGTCGCTGCCGTTTCAAAGCCGATTGCCTTTCAAGCCGTTTCTATGAACACTTCATATGTGACCGTGTTAAACAAGGTTTATCGTCTTTAAGGCAATTAAACAAAGGGGGCCGAAGAACCTCACCCTGGGGCGAAGTTCGCCACCATATATTTGCATAGCAGTGTCCGCCACTAAGACAACAAGAGCTTACGTGCACGGTATTCCAGGCCTATTTAGATACATCAAATCAATCGTTTCATTCAAGGCGCCGTTTAAACTCACCATAAATATATATATATATATATATATATATATATATATATATATACATGTATGTATATGTATATATATAAAGTTTTTAGTTAACATTGCTCTTTCTTACCTGCGTCATTTAAAGAGTTTTGTTGGTTAAAAGAGGCTATAACCCCGGCGTTTGAGTTGGTCTCTAGTGCAACAAATGGCCCCAATAGATCTCAAGATTTCTGATAATGAAATTGACCCCGCATATTATTCAAACAAAGTACAGAGTGCCAGTCAGCTGCTCTCAAAACAAGCGTTGACGTTGTGGTCACAACCCGAATTCAGTCTAACAGTAAAATGTCTACAAATGGTGCTGTAACAGTGCACTCAGCCGGGTCAGCTGGCATGCTTAACACGCGCCCGGGTAGATACCCTTGGATCGGGTGGGGGTCAATTTGACCCCCCTAAGATCTCAAAAGCTAAGAAAGCTAGAGACACCAAATTTACAGGGTGTATTGACCTGTACGTAAACTCACTTAGGTCAAAGTTTGAGCTTCCTAGGTCATTATCTTCAGGTCAAATAAGGTCAATCAAGGTCAAACTCCGGGTTGGTCTCCAAAGTGCCCCCAGAACCTAGGCAACTGTTTCTAAGCAAAAAGTCACAAGCCCATTTGAGGTCAGTTACCTTGATAGATCTCTTGAAGGTCATGGTGACCAAAATCATACGGGACTGCTTTGAGTTTTGCATTTGAATAAAAGACAAAGATTACGCTAGGCAGTATGTTCCTAAAACAAAACGCCAACCGGGGTCATCTTAGGTCAATGACCTTTTCTGACCCCCAAGAAGTCAATGAAAGATGCATAATGCGGTTTCTGCCGTCAGTAAAGTTCAAGTGAGCACCAGAAACTATCACATACAGCAAGCCCTAGAGCAATAAATCAGGTTAGTTTTGACCTTGGTCTGACCTTCATAACTGACCTTAGGTCAACATAATTTGCTCATTCAATATTTGTGGTGCCTAAGAAAGCATCTCAGAGATGTATGGCTTCATCAAACACTTCGTTGTTGTATCAGATTAAACGATTCCCTAGAAATTGACCTAGCTGAAACCATGGTCTAACTTTGACCTGCCATAGGTCAGCAACCTTCCAAGCTACATCTAAATTTTTTGTCTCAAACGAACCGCTATGAAATTTTCTACAGTTATGCAAAATTTGGCGCTGCTGCGCCGCGTTGTTCGGAAACCATTCTGGAAAAACCTTTGGGGGGTCAATTTGACCCCCACCCGAGCGCGTGTTAAGAAATTCGCCGGGGTCGAACAAAATAATTTTAACGTCAAAACGGCTCGCCAAAAAATGTATCATCTTGCTGCGATCGTCTTGACGCTGCATGAACCAGCCAAAACTTGGGCGTCCTTCACCTGAAACGAAGCTTTGATGGTAACTGGCAGGTATCAGATCGAGCAATTTTCCTCGCATTCTCGGTTTCAACGTTCCCATGGCCAGAGAATGCCCCAATCCTGGTTGTCAGTACAATCGCCTCCTTGTTCTTTGTGGGGGAGTTGTGAGAGATCGTCTTGATCGCAATGCGTCGTTGCTCTCGTGTGCTGTTCTAACGACGTCCGTGATCGCAGCGATGTAGGCTGGAGCGACAGTCGTCAGAGAAGAGGACAGAGCAGGGAAGAAGTCTGAGCGACGCTATCACGCCGGTAACATGCATCAGAAACAGGAATTCTGTACGAAAACCAAATACTATATATTTACATATTGCGGCATTCCCAAAACCACTGAGCTAAGCTTAGGAGGGAAGCAGTGCGGTAAAACAAGGACAGATTTCGAAGAGCGAACGCAGTAACGATCATTTGTAATGGGTACATGCGGCTCTTATCCGGATCAAATCAACTATGTTTCATTTTATTACACGCTCACAATAGTATCTTGAGGTGACGACATCAAACAGAACATGTCAAAAGGTATTATCTCCTATTGGTAACTAGGCACTCGCAGTTCACCGCGGGCGAACACAAAACACCAAGACAAAACATCCAAAAGTTACCTTTGGATCCGAGAGCAACGGAACAGCACAAATCATTGCAACAAGTAAAAAATCAACAACAGGTTGGCGTGTACGTACGCGATCAACGAGCACAGATGTAGCATTCCCCGCTCCCCACCCACGACGCGACACGAACGAACACTACAGGCCTGACAAAACAAGGAAATAAATAGTCGGAAATACCTACAAAACAACAACGAATTGGAGGCAGGAACAGGGCGCTGAGGCCAGCGACGCTCGGTCACGTTTGTACGGTGCGCAGGACGGATTTGGGATGCGGCTCAGACAGACGGAGCATAAATATATCCACCAGCCCCGTCCGACCAATATCACAAGCCAATCTTCAGCGAACGCGCTGGCAACCTCGCCATCCCGCCATCTGACGCGCTTCTGGCACCCCATGGACGCCGTTATGACGCCCCTTTGACGCCCCTTTGACGCCCCTCTGACACCCGTTGCGTCGGGCGTGACTGGCGGCCGCTGTTGCGACGAGCCACGCGTCGATCCTCGCACGCCCTCCCCTCCCCGCGCACTTCCGCGTCGTCCACTTCCCTTTGTGCCCTGACCCAGATCCGCGGAACGCCGGCGGCAGCGGCGGCCCCCGCCGCCACCGGGCGCCGGCCGCCGACCCCCGGCCCCCGGGCAGCGGGTTCCCGGAGGCGTTCCGGCCACGGGGACCGGCCGGCGACGGCCGGCGCCGCTCCGCCGCCAGCAGAAGTGTCACGGGAATGTGGGCCAACCGCTTTCCACGCTGCGCGCTGGCGCTGGCGCTGGCGGCGGCGGCGGCGGCGGCGGTGGCGGCGGCGGCGCGTCTGGGACGGCACCGCTGTCGGCTTGGGTCGGTCAGCTGTGCGCGTCAGGAAGGTGAGAAGCTCGTATAAGGAGCGGAACGTGCGAGGTGATCAGGCACGAAGAACGTCGTAGGCGAATGGGAATGGATACCTGCTCAGGATGTGTACCTAAAACGTACATACTCGCTCAAGACATGCAGTCGAAGAGGATGAATATTAGAATCTTCCTATTCAGTCTTGGTAGAAACAGCTAGCCAAAAGGCGGCCTCGGAACGGAACGCATCAGGTACGAGGCTGCGCTTCTCACGTTACCTCTCCCCGTCTGTCTGCCCCTCTCCCCAGTCTCATACCCGTCCATTCCCCCACGTAACTCGGACGCGGCGCTTTCCTCCCTCCCTCTGGCGGCAGCCACAGCAGGTGTGACGTCAGCGCCGGACGAGCCCACCTGCCAACGCGCATGCGCGCTGGCCGCACGGCGAGGCCGGCGACCCAGATTCGCCGCCGCCGGATCCGACTGACCCACTTGGAACCAGAACACTTTTGGTGTTACCTGGTCGGCCGGCGACACGCCGCGCTCGCTCACCCCTCATTCGGCACCGGCGGGGCATCGTCGCCGCCGACGGGGGTCGTCGACTCGGTGGGATAGGCGGGCGTCGCCGGCGATGGCCGCGCGCGCAGGTGGCACCAGGCGTCGCGGCGCACTGACCCTCCAGTAGGTCGACGACCGGGCTTTCTCCTTCTCGTATCGCGGAGCCGCCGCGGCGCGCGGCACGCGGCAGCAACCTTGAAAGAGCGCACAACACGGAGTTCGATACGTCCAGGCGGCGCAGCGGCGCGCACGCTCACTCACGACGCACAGGCGCTCGCCCGGCCCGAGCCCGGCCCGCGTCGGCGCTCGGCCGGGCTGGCGTGGCTCAGTCTCTGCTGATGCGCTTGTGGATGTTGTAGTGCTTCAGCAGATGCGCCTTCTGGCGGAAGGCCTTGCCACACGTCTCGCACTTGAAGGGCTTCTCGCCGGTGTGCGTGCGCAGGTGCACCTTGATGTTGCTCTTGTTGAGGAAGCCGCGGTTGCAGATGGTGCAGCGGTGCACCAGCTTGTCCTTGGTGCCCTCTGTGGCGATCGGCATGGCCACGAGCGGCCGCCGCTTCTTGGCGCCGCCGCCGCCGCCGGGCGCGCGCGTCATGCTGTCGGAGGCGGCGTAGCTGGGTGGACTGTAGGTGAGCAGCGGCCGCTGCAGCCGCTGCTGCAACTGGATGTTGTGCAGCATGCCGTAGCCAGGCGGCGGCGGCGGCCGCGCGCAGCTGCCGTACGACACGCCGCATCCGTTGCCCGACAGCAGGTTCTGCAGCATGGGGCTGGCGGTGCTGTACTGCAGGCCCGGGTGGACGGCGGTGGCGTGCGGCTGGCTGGTGGTGCCGTACCGCTGCAGCTGCGCCTGCGACTGTCCCTCGATCCACGCCTCGAGGTCGTGCATGTCAGAGCTGGTGAAGTTACCCAGCTCCATGCTCTCGGGCACGACCAGCTGCGGGTCGACCATGGCGTTGCCGATGATGGCGGCGAAGTCGTCGTCGGCCACGTCGGACAGCAGGTAGGAGTCGATGCCGCCGGCCTCGGCCGGCTTCATCATCACCGAATCGCCCAGCTCGCCCATGCCGCTGGTGGTGGAGACGATGTCTTGCGCGCCCGGCCCCGGCTCGGGCGCTGGGTAGTAGCCGGGCGAGGCGCCGGCCGCCTCGCCCGAGCTGCCCACGAAGTCGCACTGCGTCAGCGCCTTCAGCGGCGGCACCGGCTTCAGCTCCGTGAAGCTGGAGGAGGCCGCGCACGCCACCGAGGACGACGAGGGCGCCGGCGACTGCGGCGGGAAAATGGTGTCGAGAGCCGACTGCAGGCCGGCCTTGCTGTCCGTCGAGAAGCCGCCGAAGTCCTCCTGCGTCCAGGCCTGGACTGAGTCGGGCGAGGTCTGCGGGTACAGTTTCATGGTGCGACGCGCGGCGAGACGAGATCACAGCAGCACTTCCAGCGGACGTGACGACGCCGGTGCATGCTCGGTGCCTGCAACGCAAGGTCGCCGCCGGTTAGGGCACGCCAGGACGGGCGGGCCGACGACAGGCTTCGCTGGCGTTACGGGGCATGATAGCGCGTGAACACTCTTGCGGTGCATGCGCAATGCATTCAGTGAACTTCTGGCACAATATCCGGTATGCTGCCATGTTCCGGGAATAGCCACTACCGGCGTGTAGTTGTGTAACATGATTTAGTGGGTACGCCAGTAACCTAGTCTGTGTGTCAGTGGCATCCAGTAAAACATACACAGTCGCGGGCGATTTTCAATATCAGTCGCCTCGGCAATTCCCCTAAAACGCAGCGCTACACTCTGACGCATAACTACGCCTCAATAAAGTCCGCCTCATGTGCCAATGGCCTCTAGCACCCGCCCATTGCAGCAACCTTGTCCCACAAAAATCTCGGGGCGTTCCGGCCTTTGTGACGTCATCAGGTGCGCGCCGCCCAACGCTGCTGCGCACGCCGCCGTGGGAGTGCGTACTCGGACCTTCTGACTCAGCGGGACGCGCCGCTGGCGCAACCGCGACCCCGGCGTCCGGTGAGCGGCCGGTCAGCGGCGTACCCGGCGCGGCTCTGACCGGGCCGACGGCGGGGAACCCTGCTTACGACACCTCGGCCGCCGCCGGCCCGGAGCTCGACTCCCCGGCGACCCGTCCGGGAAGTCGGCACGTCGACACCGTTATACCGGCGGGCGGGGCTGACTCAGAAGTAAAAGTGGCGGCGCCGCGTGTCAACAGCCGGACGGACGGCGGGGCGGTGACTGAGGGAGGGGCCCGCCGGCCGCCGGCATGCATAAAACATGCCACTGCAGATGGATCAATTATTATTCATCAGGCGACGTGGGAATTCAGGCCGCGCGCGCCGCCGGTCGCCGGCCGTACGTCACGTGAGGCACGCCTTGTAAGCCGAGACGACGGAGAATTGCTGCGTGGTCGGGTGAGGGCTCAGGTGTCGGCGCTAGACGTACCGGGCGGAGTGCGTTATCTCCGTTGAAATAATCACACGGCATGTCTGTGGGCAACGCGTGCGCTGCATCTATCCTTTTCCTGTGTGGCTCTTTGGAATCTGGCTTCATGCGGAGCAGTTATAGTGAGCCTCCCTTGACGTCTCGCAATATATCCGGTGTTGTTTCTGCACCTGAATTCAACTCCAGCCTCAGAAACGGGAACCCAGTTTGGCAGGAATAGCATAAATGCGCCGGGGACACCGGGCATGCTAAGGCATGCCACCGCGGTGAAGGTAAAAACATCTCGTCGTACTTGACGTGTTGGATTGTGAGTTGGGTGAGGCTGGTGGATGTGAAATTCTTTAAGTACATCCTTTACAGCCTAGGAGTAGGAGTACACCTTAGGGGTAAAGCTGCATTTCACAATCGAGCTTCAATCCGACGGTTTTGCCTCGTCAGATGTCAATTGCAGCAGACTTTGGAGACAGAAGAATGTCGCAGAAGCTCTAGACCAAACATATTCCGTTTCAGATCATCACGTCGCCCATGTCATGCACACAAATGCATGACGTGAGCTGTGCACGTATTTGTAACAATGGGCCATGTTTTTGTATCAACGAACCCCGTCCTGTGCACGAATACTAGAACAAGATATTCGTGTTTCTATATTGTCCCTATCCCTGTAAACCTATCGGCATGCAGCTTCTCGTATGTCATGTCGCATGGCTCAAAATGCTTCCGGTTATTATGCCTGCGGCGAAACCGCACTAAACACAGACATAAAACTCAAGTGTAATAATTGCGTTGTATGTTTTTCATCGTAGGGCTGACGAAATGCGCTAAACTGACAGAATATCCGCTCCCTATGTAAGGCGTCGTTCAGTACGTGTTTTGAAATATGTCGCTCGATGCAAGAGTGATGACAAAAAGATGCAGCCGTCCTCGGCCGTCCTTCTTAATAGGATCACAAGCAACAACTTAGCAGTTCTCAGGGGACGTTCAAAGAGCATCCAGGAGCAAGCTAGAATCCGAGCTGGTGTGGCGTTGGACTCCGCTGTATCGCTGCAGTCTCGCAGGAATTCAGGACGTAAAGCGGCAGCGGTGAGTTTGGCACAGTGACCTGCTCTCGGAGAGGAGCACGCCTTCTGACGGAACGTGCGCAGAAGCAATGACGTGAGCGGTTTTCTGGCACTAGAGCTGATAACAAACAATTTAATTTAGGCCAATGGTGCAGACGATTCCTTACTTATATCATGCCGACAATCACTTGAAGCCTGATTTCAGACATCCTTCCGTTTAATCAGACCGAAAGGCGACGGAGCCTGCTTGCCTCGGAGCTCCGGAAGAATGGCTTCCGTTGCATAGGAAAACACTAGATCATTGCCTGAAATAGCATCTACGTCAGTGCAATTTCCGGGGCCAAGCTCGCTCCTTCCACCCACAAGCTTCTGCACAGAGTCAATGCAGTTCGTAACGCCACTATCGGACCATTTAGTCACTTGATTTTCATATTTATGTCGCGTCCCGTCACAGGACTGAACTTCATAAGTGCGACGAAACCAATGTCCCATTGCTTAAGCATGGTTTCCTGCTTCTTATGATTTCACTGGTTTCACGAATTGTTGCAGTTGCTTCCAGGCATCTTTCGACACACACAAGTTTTACGCCCGCCGGGCGCAGAGCTTCTCCCGCATATCTTTCGGGCAAATCCACCAGATCCTCATCGTAAGCTCCAGTTCATGTTTCCAATAAATGCTGTCACATCGCACTGTCGCAATGTCTGTTCCAGGACGTCCAGCCGGTCAAGACGGTCCCGCCACAACTGGAGCATTTTTCCAGTAGCCGGCGCGGTGGCACCAACGTTAGGCACAAACACCGGACCCGTCGCTGCTAGCTGTGAGCGCATTTCCCTCCTACACCTGTCATGAACCTTCCATCCCTCCGCGCGCCACGAGAGCCCTCCATCCCTCCCTCCTCGGCACTCATGCGTGCTCCTCCCTCCCACGTCGGCCACGACGTCGGAGGGAGGTGCTCTCCCTGCGGCGGCATCTGCTCGTCAGGCGTGCGGTCCGTTCCCCACCGGGCCGGCCGCACGTGGCTTCACCGTCGAGCGCCGGCTGCGCGCCGGAGCGTCGACTCTCGGCGTGAGACCAGCGGGCGGCGCGCCGTGCTCCACTTTGTAGGGCAGTCACTCGTCGACGAGTGGAAAGTGAGCGGCAGGCCCGACCCGTCCCCGGGCCGAGGCGGCGTGACTCCTTGACTCAGCTGCGGTCTTCGGCCCAGACATGGGCTCCGCCCTCCTGCCGTGCCAAACAACAGCGCTGTTCTTCATGGGGCGCCGGCGCCGCCCCACGCCAAACACGCACTCCTGATTATCCTGTCGTATTCACGGAGCAGAGTTACGCACTCAAACGTAGACAAGGAGCAGCCCTCCAACGCCAAAACAATAACAATTCTGACGATCTCGAACAACCATTGATGGAATATCTCGCCACTTCTGAATATTTCGCCGAAGCATTTCGAAGACCGCTTCCATGGGCCACGCGCAGAACATACGTGCCCATGCGCGTCCTCTGGGAGCCTCCAGCAGGGGTGGCCGGGCTGGCTCGGCCCCTGGACCCCATGGCACGAGCCGCGGCCGAGTCCGGCCGGCCGGGTTCATTAAACTCTTATCTTCACCGTCTAATCGCGGCCGGCTGCTCTATCGGTCGGTCGCGGTTTCCGCGCCGCCGAAAAAGCGCGCGCCGCGTCGTTGATAGCCGCCCCGGAGGTCGGCAGACGTGTGCCGGAGTCGGCCGGGTGGGTCGGGTCAGGCACGACGGCCGCCGCGCCCCGCGACCCAACCCCGCCTGACCCCGATCGGCGGCAGCCGGGGAGGGCGTGTTGGCTTCCGATGGCGAGCCTTTGTGGGTTCTGGTCGGCTCGGGAGGAGCTCCGCGGGGATTCGGCGGCCTATCCGGGTCTGGCCCGCGAGGATCCGAGCGAGCTGGGGAGGTCCGGCGAGGATCCGGGCGGGCTGGGAAGCACCGCGAGGATCCGAGCGGGCTGAGGAGGCCCCGCGAGGATGCGGGCGGGCTAGGGAGGCCCCGCGAGGATCCGGGCGGACTGGCGGGGGGGAGGGGGGAGGGGCCGCGAAGATCCGGGCGGGCTAGGGATGCCCCCTCGAAGATCCGGACGGCCTGTGGAGGCCCCGCGAGGATCCGGACGGGCTGGGGAGGGGCTCTCGATCGGGGTCCGGTCGTATCCGGCAGGAATTCGGCCGGGACCCGGTCCAGGGCCGGTTCGTGCGCCGTGAAGACGACAGGTCCAGCCGCCACCGGGCCAAAGACCGGACATAACTTTCTCCTGCCGATATGAATAAGTCGCAGCAGACGAACACCGTGCCGGCCGTTCCGCGAGCCGTTTACGGATCCGCTAAAAGACGCCCAGAGGTGGTGGCCGCGACGGCGCCGAGGGTGGCGCACCCGCAGCCGTCTCGGCGCGCAGCGCTCCACTTTGGCCACAATGGCGCCGATCAACAAACAGGGCGCGGAGGCTGCGCGCGCGCCGAGACGCCGCACAACAATTCGCCATTGACGAAAGCGAAACGCGGCAACGCCGCGCGGGCGGCGCGGCAAAAAGTTGGCGCGCGCGTCGCCGTCAGCGGCGTGGCGGCCACGGCTGGCGACGTATCAGGGTCAGCGGCGAAACTGCGCCCAGGAGAAACTCGCCGGCCGGCCGCGGGGCAACGCTCGCCCCGGCCGCTGCCCGCGCCATTACGCGGTAAAACGCGCCGCGTCCGCCGCCACGCAGCGATCTCGCCGCCGCGGCGGACGCGGCGCACGCGCCGGCGGCAGGACGCAGGGTCGCCGGCGGTGCACGAGCGACAAGAGGCCACTTGGAGCGTGATGAATGGGGTTTGACCCGTGTGGATGAGGTGGGACAGGTTCGAGGTCCTTTTTGGCCTTGCTTCCGGGGAATTGCGCTCTCTCGCGACCGTTGCACTCTCCTGGCCTGATACGTCCCGGCAAAATTAACGATCGATGCAGCTACGAAACGTATAGAAAGAGACGGACCCTCAAAAAGGCAGATGAAAGTTTCCTTGAAAAATATTTATGGCACCTAACGACCGACACATGACACAATGAGTGTCAAGGAACAGGGAACGAGTGGATTCAACCACTTCCCAATTTGTTTTTTCTCTTGCCAAAAACCCGGCTCACTCTGGCATGTAGCGAAGAGCATTTTTCACCTGCCCACGGTAATGGCTAGTCTCCAAACGCGCCATGTAGGAGATTGAGCTGCGAGGCTTAGCCCGAATGGTCACAAACGGTGCCTTCTCCCTTGAGCTGGGACCCGGCTGCTCCGAAAGACTGACGGATTCTGAGCCACTGCGCCATGCTAGTCCACGACATGCTAGACCAGTGCAGCTTCCCTGTTCTGAGACGATCTCACGGCAGTCATCGACCCCGGTTTCTTCTCAGGCGCACCGTCGGCACAAGCAGCGCTCCGCGGTGCCCTGCACCCGGTAAGAGCGCGGAAGCCGGCGCCGGTGGCATTGTGTTTCCAGATATGGCCGGTTTGCATCCGCGCTTGTATCCGCCGATCAGGACCCTGCAAACTGGGCCAGTCCATGCACCACAAACAGGAATGGGGAAGTGCCGTGTGGCATGCGGCTGTGCACTGAGTCTCAGGGGTGGATCGGGTTTATGATATATGATTTGTGGTGGTTACTTCTTATGGGCTATTGCGCTACTACTTATGATCGTATCAGCAAATATCCCGGTGGTGGAACACTGGAACTTCACACTGAAGTAGCTCGTTATTTATCTGCCTGTAAGAAAGTTCTTTGGGATCGGACCTGCCGTCTTGCACAGACTTAACCTAAATCTTGCAATGCAACGGACTACAAAAAGGAAACGGTTCAAATGCTAAGAGTGTCTTGAATTTTGGTCGCCCACCCGTGATCTGTTTGCACAATCTCTGAACACCATGCAACGCTAGTGGCAAACGGTGTGTCATCCAGCTAAACGTGTGCCCCACAAGCGAGTGCTGTCAAACACGGTGGACATGAAGAGTCGCTCAGGATCTGTGTCAAGCGCATGCAGTGAATGTGAACGGATAAGGAACGTTATGGGCCTTCCGGGTCCGGTTAAGTCGGGACTCAGGACGCGCAATGTAAAACTTGTCTGATGGCTGAAGTAACCCACCCTCAGTCGCCAATCTGATTTGAATTCATTGCTTCTGAAAACCTACTTGGAAAGTAATGCCTTAAAGTGGCAAGTCATTTCTGCAACAAGGAGATTCGTGGTTCATGTCTGAGGCCGTCGTTGTCGTTATATAAGTTGCACATACTGTGGCAGAGTTTATCGCCATAAATTTGTACATCAGCTCGCAAACGTGGCACAGTACAAACCTAATCTTGATATTACCAAATCTGAGGCAACTAACACATTGCGTCCACATCCCAACCATAAACTATGCGATACTCCCTGCCATGCATTACTTGCATGCAAACAGACATCACGCGCCCTCAGGTATCTCAAACCTGTTCACGTGTCTGGGCTCAGCCCATCAGTGACGGATTCTATGACGGATGTTTGTGACGGAACTGATGATCTGACGGCGCGGGTCAGTTGGGGAGTCGGTCGGAGCGCAGCCACACGGCTGGTGGGGTCATTACCTGCTCGTGGGCCGCCGTCAGCCGATGACCGTCGCCAGGGCATGTGCCATTCTGAAAACAGAGAAGAGACCGGCCTTAGACGAGAACGCTCACAGACTTCGGGATCACAGAGCCGCAGGGGTGCGGGATTAAAGAACAAGACCGCGAAGACGGCCCCGCAGAGGTACCGGATTGACACTCAGGTCCACGAAAGTACTCGTCTTAGACCCAGGTCTATAGAGATACTGGACACCAAGGTTTGCAGAAAATTCGGACGGAGACCAAGGTCTACAGAGATCCCGGACTGGAGCCATGGACTTCAGAGATCCCGGACTATGACCGAGGTCCCAGAGATCCCGGACTGAGACTATGGTCTACAGAGATCCCGTACTGAGGCCAAGGTCCAAAGAAAACCCGGACTGACACCAAGGTCCACAGAGATCCCGGACTGATGCCAAGGTCCAAAGAAAACCCGGACTGACACCAAGGTCCACAGAGATCCAGGATTGACACCAAGATCCACGGAAGTCCCGGACTGAGGCCAAGGTCCACGGAGATCCCGGACTGACACCAAGGTCCACGGAGATCCCGGACTGACATCAAGGTCCACAGAGATCACTCTGCGGACCAAGGCCCACCGAGTGATCGGCACGAGACTCAGCGTTCCCAGAGCAGGGTCCACAGAAGCACCGGCCCGAAACGCTGTCGAGGTTCATGCCCCAAAGTGGGAGCGGCAGAGACATCCGTCTGCCCTCCCCAGTCGGTCTGCAGTCTCCAGGTTACGCTCTTGTGACGCAACGCAGTCAATACACTTGCTGTGTGGGTAACTGGTTAGCGAACAACTAATGGCTTCAGGCTTTTCAGTTTCCTCGACTTTTGGTTGTTAAGGCCCTTAATGCCAGTCGGGACCTATCAAATATCAGCTAATGATCCATATAGAATTAAAAGAATCTTTGAGATGGTTGAGGAGAGCACTGATTTGTGTTTTTACTTTGCCGACACAGTGCAGTACCGTGACCAGCCCACCGCATTTTGTGGTAATCTTGTTCTTGTTTCTCAAAATCCCCGATGAAATATTACCACTTTTACACAAGTTCTTACCGATCCTACTAAATAAGACCGAGTGCTGCACTTGAGCAGCTGGCTGCGTAAAACTTCTCGAGCCTGTCGTAAAAAACGTGCAAACATCTACAAACCACGCCACCCGTAGCGTAGCCAGGCAAAAAGCGCAGTGGCGCCACGCTTCTTATCGGACACCTCCCACAACTACTTCCAGCACGCCGCTGCTCGATCGTGACATGTTTAAACGCCTCCTACGAACGCCAGGCACGTCTGACCGACAAAGAACGCCCCCGCCCCGCCCACCGGGGCACGGGCTGGTCAGGAGCGGGACTGGCACGAACAGCCAGACGGCAGGGGGGGGGGGGGGGCGAAAAGTTCGCGATGGCTCACTCCCTGATGGCGCCGCTCCTTCGTTTTATGCTAACCGCCTCGGCTTCAACTGTTCCGGTTTCCTGCGGCGGCATTCTCCTGATAAGCTGACATACGTGAACATGAAACTCATGTATTCCTCACAGGAAACGAGCACGGAACATGCATGTTTCTTACGTGAAAAACCAACGAACAGTGTTTTTGGAGTGTTAAAAGCAGCATGGCAAGTGAGTCCACAGGGAGTTGAATTATTTGTAGGTCATCTCCATGTTGTCTACAGTTGGTGCGTGGATTGTTCTTCATATGTTGCAACTTGGTCATGCATTTGTTTTTCATATGATGCAAATTGATCATGTATATGTTCTTCATGCTTCACCATCTGTGGATACCGTTGTTTATGATGCAACGTAATCATGCTATTGCACAAACCAATGCAAATGAGTCAGCGACTCACGTTTCCTACTCACTCCCGGTGCATGCAGAGGCAGTCTCTACAACACGCATTGCAGTGGGAACCAGTCAACATTTATCCGCCCATGGCCTCCCTTGGCGACCCCCACCGTGTGTGTGCGTGTCTGCCGTGTGTTGCCTGCCGCGCCGCGGACCCGGGACCCCGAGGGTGGACAAAGGCGGCGGGCGGGGCCGGGCCGCCGGCTAATATCAGCTTTGTTCGCCGCCCGATGACAATGGAAGGTCGTGGCGGCGAGGCTGACCCCAAGCGGGCGGCCGCCGGGGGCCGGTCCGGGGGCGGCGAGTGAAAACACGAGCGGGGCGGCGCGCACCCAGCGGCGCCCCGTTTCTACCACGTGCCGCAGCTTGTAACGACGCCGCGTCGGCGCCGCGGGCGACGCCGACACGGTGCACGGGCGCGGAGTGCCGGCCGGAAAATCCGGCCGGACGGTACATGCCGAGGCGGGTGTCCTGTATCCGCAGCACGGACGCCAGGGAGGGTGTCTCCCGTCGCGCAGGGTGCCAGCCAAAACTCCACACAGCGCAGACGGTCGAGCATGCTGTCGCCGGAAGTTTGGTGATAGCTCGGTAACATCCACGGATGTTCTCGGACGGTAGCGCTGCGCACATGTGCTCAATTCAAATCTAACCGACGCAGGGATCGTTACAGAAGAATGGGCTTAATGGGTCATTATGGAGCCCTGTGCTTAATTAGGCTATTATGGAGTCCGCCGCTGGTAAACAAAACAATGGCTTTGTTAGAGGGACGGCGACAAGAAGCTTGGAAGCCTCATAACGCCACACTGACTGTCCATGGCTATTACGGTCGGTTTGTCTGGCAGCTGCATTCATCAAGGGTCAAAATCGCGTGCGTCACGATTCCAGGACAAGGTGCATTTTGTTCTAATTCACACTTAATTTACAGCCACGTTCGGCACAGAAAACAGAACATTACGATTCGAACGTTAGCAGCGCACCGCAGCCTTAGGTTGAGGCATACCTGGGTGAAAACCCGAAGCTGCCGATCCTCACCGGGCCTAGCGCTCTGCCCTCTGACACTCCCGCTCCGCCGTCCCGGCCGCCGCTCTCGGAGCCCGTACTCCTCACTCACACTCCGCACTCAGCGGCACCACACTCCTCTGCCCGCTCGGCCCCGTGTTCGCAAGGTCGCAGCGCGCCGCCGCCGTCGGCTGTCCGCGGAGCGCCTCCTTAGCCACTACGGTCGGCCATCGGCCCCTGCAGGATCACTCTCTACTGACCCAGATGCGCCGCGCCGCGAGCGCCGCGCCGCGCCGCGCCTCGCCGCGCCGCGGGCGCCGGCCCGGTATGCGGCGCGGCGCTTTCGTTGGAGGCGCGGGCAGCGCGTCATGGCTCGCTCACAGGCTGGGACAGCGCGCCGCAGCGCTGCGCAGAGGTTCGGGGCTGAGGACGGGGAGGAAGGGGGGGGGGGGGGGGGCCTGCCGCGGCGCCTGGTCCCCGAGGCAGGGTGACAACAAGGTGCCTGTCCTCGTGGGTAATGCGCAAATGAGCTTGGCATGGCTTGCGAGAGAAAGGGTGGCTGGGCGGGAGGGAACGGCAAAGGCTTAAGGTGGTTGGTCAGAGCTTGTCCGCCTAGGGATGATATTGTAGATACTTCATACCACAGTTAGCGCTACGGTGCTCTAATGCAATCTGTATTGCTGTATTTTGTGAGTGCTGGGACCTCATGAAATCTTATCTCTTTTAATGTTGCTCTATAGCACTGAAAGCAGGTCGCTGATAGCCGACGCGTGTTTAATTGGACATTCAGGGCACTTTGCGATCTGATAGAAAGCCAACTGGGTTAAAGCTACATGTTTTCACTCCAGTAACATAAACTCATATACTATAAGACAATCATCAAATAAATATTATCGGGTGACTAGCTTTTCTCCCTTTTGAATACGTACTAGGTTCTGCATAAATGGTCGTCGTTTTACCCCGAACCTTAAAGTATGCCGCTCAATTAATGCACCGCAAGGCAAAATGAAAAGCGAACAAGCACACGTTGGGGATGTAAAACCGAGCACTATGCCTTTGGTTGTATATTTGATCACAATAATTGTAGTTGCAAGCAGTGAATCTTGATTCAGTTCGTCAGGGAAGTCACTTACCACAAGTGATTGGGCGTTTTGATCACTGTGGGGGTTTCGTAAATTTGTATATTTTTCCACGAAGTGGCAAAGCAAGCATACAAACTGGCGCCCCTGAGGTTGAATAAAAAAAATGAACGGCTAGAATGGCAGCCTTTCATATCATTACATCAAGAAAAAGTAGCATTTTTAAACGAACGGCGCAAAGCATGCTTTTAATCCTCGCTAACCACCAGCGGAGGGAAACATTTTCGAAAGTGCACATCCTCATCATCCGTTTCGGCAAAAATTTGCATGACTTGACAAAGTCCGCCATTCCGACTGAGTCTCGTACCACACACCGTAAATAATGGCAGCGATGTCCACATCAGTGTCTGGAGCTATGATGAGGGTCACACCTGAACCAGGGCCTGCCGCTTTGTACTCTCGGGGCCGCCAGCAGCCAAGTCTCACCATGTCAAGAGACAAAACATTCAAGATGCGGCCTGACCGCGTCAGTATGATCCAAAGGCACAACTGTATCATCTGGGTGACCTCTTTCATCCACACATCACGCCCATTACATCCTTAAGCCTATTCAGACATGACCAAGCTGCTTATGTCACATTACTGGCATAAAGCGGATCGCGGTAGGTACGTCTTCTTCGCGGATAAGGGTTCTCTGAAAAGGTGGACTATCTCTTCTTGATATGAAGTTTGGCTCTATGTGTCTCGTCCCAGCTTAAACGATCGACTCCAAGCATAATTTTCCAGGAGTCTTTTTCAGAGCGAACACTATAGATAGCTAGGTTATACCATATCAGTGGTATTAGATACCTACAGTGGGCGCTTTCAAGTGTGGTGTGTTTACACGTGTCCCACAGCAAGATTTTCATACATCTTCGTATATTCATATCCCTCCTATGTTTTCAATGGCACCCTTTGCCTTTTCTGGTCGTAACAGTAAAACGTTTGAAAACACGTTTTCGTTTTTCGTAAAAACTCTTCCGAAAAAACGCTTTCGTTATTGTGGAAACCTTTTCAACGAAACATTTTCGTGTCGAAACAGTGGTTGCGTTACGTAAAACAAAGGTCGCTCTCGTCTGTTTAGTGCTGTGTCATGTAATGATTTATGTTAATGTATTTTAAATATTTTATTCTAAGCCCTTTCGTTGCCGTATGCATACTCTTTTAAGAACCTTACCCTCCCATCATTGCACATGCAAGTGTGTGTGTGCACGTCGTGCCTTTTACGTTGTCTTCATGGTGTTTGCCAATCCTAACTGTACACTTTTACATGACGTGCTTGCAACTTGAGATGGAATTGGGGCCAACTGTTGATACTCTCATTCTGTTGATTTTGTTCCTTAAATTTAAAATTGAAGTTAGTATGCAAATAATTCATCAAACAACAGCAAAGAAAACAAATAAACTACCCTCTATTGAACGATATCACCCACCGCTTTCAACTTATCATGCGGGACTGACAAGACCCTTGTATCTGTAAGGCCTGAGCAGCCTCGCAAGTCGCAGCCCAACAAGTGTGAGCGACAACCCGTGACCTCCTGACCCCGCCGCCTCCAGCTGCAGCGCGACAGGCCGCCCGCCCGCCGGAGTCATTCCTGCGGTCGACAAACGAGGAGCGGCGTGGCGGGCCCATGCCACCTCGGAGTGGCGGGGCTCCGCGTCGTGGGAGCCGGGTCTGAGACAGCGGGAGTTATGACTTGTCAGAAAGAAGTTGGCACGCCCGGGGGCACCGTCCGGGACGACGACGAAGGCGGCTGGTCGGTAGTGACTCGCGAGACTCCCTCCTGGCAGAATGCATGAGAGGTCGTCGGCGGTAGCCCCGCGGTTCCCCAGCCGAACACACTCCTTTGCTTTTATGCGAGGCAATAGGTAAGGTGGCAGTTTGATGGCAGTGAGGGGTCTAAAAATACTGCGTCCCTTAAATGACAACCACTGCAGCTTGTCAGAGACAAAGAACAGTTCGTTCTAGCAGACAGACGCAAACCCAGGGTATCTACACTGTCATTGCTCCTTGCATTATTGCTATTGGTATTGTTGCGAGAAGCTACGATGAGTCTCATGGTTTCATTGGCAACGGGAGGCACAAGCAGACTTTTAGACCGACATCTTGCTAAAAACCGTGCGTACATTTCTTGACAGCGTTCGCGTCTGGAAAATGCATTCAAGCAGGTTTCAGCCGGTAAAACACACAAGCGCAACGTTGTATGATTGATGAGCTTCCCAGCACCCAAACGGAACAACCAGGCAGGGGTCAGGCCCGGCCCAGCCCCGCAGCGGGGGCCGCAGCGCCATTGTCCAGTCCATCACAAAGCTGATCCGCGGCGGAGGTCGCCCCGTTAGACAGCGCGGGCGTGCGCCTGCTGTTGTGCTGGAGACAGTCCCGCGGTGTCTCTCGAGTCCACCGGACGCGGTCCCGGCGACTCCGGACAGCGGCGGTGAGGGGCAGACCAGCCCGGCAGCACCTCACGCCTTCTTGTGGCCGCCACCTGTGGGCAGGCCCCGGCGCCGCGAAAAGCCGTGCCCGCAGTCCGCCGGGCGGCGGCAGGGGTCGGCCACCGTCGCTCCCCTCCCCGCACCGGCTGGCTGCGCCCACTCGGTCAAGGTCGTGCCTGCTCCCACCCAGCACGGTCACACGACGGAAGGGGGGGGGGGGGGTCAGCTAGGCAGTTGGACGATCTCCAGCGGCAGCGACTCCAGCCGGCTGGCGGACAAAGCTGGATTACTCGGCACCCTTTGTTGACCATTATAATACAGAACCGGACTACTTTTCGCCAACTATAAAGACTGGCCGGGGCCACTTGACACCCAGTGGAAGACAGACACGGGCCAGCGCACAGTCGCCGCTGAGAAAAACCCGGGTCACTTGGCGCCCACTGTCAACAGACCTGGAACGCTGCACACCTGCCGTCGGACAGACGCAAGTCACAGCGGGCTTGCTAATGCTGATACAAATTCCATTGTGCCGCCGCAAGCGGTCGTAGTAACCCGCTCGTAGTGCCCGCATTTAGAGGCTTGTTTCATCCGCTCGCATGCTCAATACAAATGCCCACTGGGATCTGTGGCTTGCGACAAAACCGCAGAGGTATGCTAATTACGGTGCTAGCACCAAACGAGAGCGATTTGGAGAAGCTGTTTACCATGTCGTGCCTTCTATGTGGTGAAGCTGCAACGTGCTTGTGACGGTAAATGACTCGCCACCTGGGAAAATTTAAAATTAGCATGACACTATGCAGCTAACACCAGAGATGTTCAAGATCTGTCTCCAAGCATTCCGAAAAATATCCGCGGCTAGATTCCCAGGTTCTATTTTTTTAAGTACTTAGCATATTCAAATTGAGTTGCATGTATCGTGAGACATGTCATGAACCGTGCAATGACCAAAAATACAGTTAACGTCCACCAGTGGCCACCAGAATCTGCACGACTCCAATCAAGTCGAACTATTTGGGGTCTTCTTGGATCGGATCCGGATCCACCCTATACATTCCGCCCCAGCCTGCATATTCAACTTCATTACATATGTTCATCCCCACTGTGTATTCATGACCCCGTTCACACGAGTCAGATCGTCGTCCGTGAGCAACGCACGTTGCAACCCGGAAAGAAGCGCACAGCCCGCTGGAGGCAAACTCCCCGCCTTCTCGAAAGGACCCGGATCCGACGTCGTCCCGCGCCGCCGCCACTCGCCGGCTGTCCCCGCCTGCACGGTGCGTGGGGCCGGACGAGTGACCCTAATTGGAGGCGCTCGAGCGATCCGGTCCGGTCAGCACGACCACCCGTTTTCCGGCCGGGCTGCGGTGGCGCGTGCCGATTCAGGCGGTTCGGCCGGACCGGCCGTCTTAAGCGGACTGGCCGCTCAGCCAGCGGTGAGCTGGGGCCAATGACCGAGGGTGGGGTTGATGACCCCGGACGGCGCAAGAGTCGACGTGTGGCCGCAGTGGGCAGAAGGTTACCAGACAGCAGTCACACGAAATAGATTGAATAGCAAACTAAAGATGTAACTGACACACGTCTGATAAAGCCAGTATGGGTCAGATAAGAAATCAGAACAGCCGTAAAGACTTAGAACCGACGGGAGTTTTCA